CAATGCAATACCAATCAAGATACCGACGACCTTCTTCTCAGATCTGGAAAAATTGGTGCTGAAATTTATATGAAGGCACAAGAGACCTCGAATAGCTAAAGCAATCTTGTACAACAAAAACAAAGCCGGAGGCATCACAATACCAGATTTCAGGACATACTAAAGGACAGTTGTAATCAAAACAGCATGGTACTGGTACAGAAACAGATGGATAGACCAATGGAACAGAATTGAAACACCAGAAATCAACCCAAACATCTACAGCCAACTTATATTTGATCAAGGATCTAAAACCAATTCCTGGAGCAAGGATAGTCTCTTCAATACATGGTGCTGGGAAAACTGGATTTCCACGTGCAGAAGCATGAAGCAAGACCGCTACCTTATGCCTTACACAAAAATCCACTCAACATGGATTAAAGACCTAAATCTATGACCTGACACCATCAAGTTACTAGAGAACATTGGAGAAACCCTTCAAGATATTGGCACAGGCAAAGAGTTTCTGGAAAAGACCCGGGAGGCACAGACAGTCAAAGCCAAAATCAACTATTGGGATTTCATCAAATTGAGAAGTTTCTGTACTGCAAAAGAAACAGTCAGGAGAGTGAAGAGGCAACCGACAGAATGGGAAAAAATATTTGCAAACTATGCAACAGATAAAGGGTTAATAACCAGAATCTACAAAGAAATCAAGAAACTCCACAAAAACAAAACCAACAACCCAATTAAGAGATGGGCCAAGGACCTCAATAGACATTTTTCAAAAGAGGAAATCCAAATGGCCAACAGGCACATGAAAAAATGTTCAAGGTCATTAGTAATCAGGGAAATGCAAATCAAAACCACAATGAGGTTTCACCTCACCCCGGTTAGAATGGCTCACATTCAGAAATCTACCAACAACACATGCTGGCGAGGATGTGGGGAAAAAGGGACACTAACCCACTGTTGGAGGGAATGCAAACTGGTCAAGCCACTATGGAAGTCAGTCTGGAGATTCCTCAGAAACCTGAAGATAACCCTACCATTCGACCAAGCCATCCCACTCCTTGGAATTTACCCAAAGGAAATTAAATTGGCAAACAAAAAAGCGGCCTGCACCCTAATGTTTATTGCAGCTCAATTCACAATAGCTAAGACCTGGAACCGACCTAAATGCCCATCAATGGTAGACTGGATAAAGAAATTATGGGATATGTACTCTTTAGAATACTATACCGCAGTAAGAAACAACGAAATCCAGTCATTTGCAACAAAATGGAGGAATCTGGAACACATCATGCTGAGTGAAATCAGCCAGTCCCAAAGGGACAAATACCATATGTTCTCCCTGATCGGTGACAACTGACTGAACACCAAAAAGGAAACCTCCTGAAGTGAAACGGACACTATGGGAAACGGTGACTTGATCAGCATAGCCCTGACTGTTAATGAACAACTTAATACATTATCCCTCTTAGTAGTTTTTTTGTCTGTTCTACTTAATATGATTGGTTTAATTCTGTAATTAATACACAGTTATTCTTAAGTGTTGAAAATTAACTGAAATGTGATCCCTGTTAAACATAAGAGTGGGAATAAGAGAGGGAAGAGATGTATAATTTGGGACATGCTCAAGCTGACTTGCCCCAAATGGTAGAGTTAAAAACATACCAGGGGATTCCAATTCAATCCCATCAAGGTGGCATGTACCAATGCCATCTCACTAGTCCAAGTGATCAATTTCAGTTCACAATTGATCATAATGAAAGGACTAAGAGTCAAAGGGAGCACATAAACAAGTCTAGTACCTGCTAACACTAACTGATGGAATAAATAAAGGGGAGAGTGATCCAACATGGGAAGTGAGATACTCAGCAGACTCATAGAATGGCAGATGTCCTAAATAGCACTCTGGCCTCAGAATCAGCCCTAAAGGCATTCGGATCTGGCTGAAGAGCCCATGAGAGTATTTCAGGCATGGAAAGCCAAGACACTCTGGCAAAAGATCGCTGCGAGTGAGAACCCAGTGGAAAGAACAGGTCTTCAAAGAAGGAGGTACCTTTCTCTGAAGGGAGGAGAGAACCTCCACTTTGACTATGAGCTTGTCTAAACAAGATAAGAATCGGAGAACTCAGAGGGCTTCCATAGCCTTGGAAACTCATGACCAGAGCATAGGAAGACTACTGATGCCATAGACAGGAGTGTCAATTTGTAAAGTCAACAACAGGAGTCACTGTGCACTTACTCCTCATGTAGGATCTCTGTCCTTAATGTGCTGTGTATTGACATTTAATGCTATAACGAGTACTCAAACAATATATTTCACTTTGTTTTTTTATGGGGGTGCAAACTGTTGAAATCTTTACCTAATGTATACTAAACTGATCCTCTGTAAAAAAAAAAAAATTGTCAACTCTCAACTTGACTCTCATGGGATTAAACATGACAATAGGTCTGATCTGAAAAAAAAAAAGAAGAAAAGTTAATTCATATGCAACCATAAAAAGCAAGCCTTTGACATCTGGGTCTACACCAGTGTACTCAGTCAATAGTTTCCAATCTTACTGAAGCCCAGAGAGTTCTATTGGGAAGATATACTTAACTGTTTCTTCATCATTAGGTTTCTTTGTAGGCATACATGTTGGTTTTTCTGCCATGTCAGGCAGAAAGAACTGAAAATGAAGAAATAAAGTCTTTAAAAATGTACTTACAAAGGTTACATTCTTATTTTATATCACCACAGACCTGTTTTGAGTTGCAGCTGTCTTGCTACAGAGGCTTCTACACAATAAATAATATACATTCAAGATACGTGGTAATGCATGTAACCATAACACAAAAGCATTCTAGGAAAGGTAACTTCCTTTTTGAAATCAAGAGGACAAAGAGCACTCACTCTTCATTAAAGGACTCTACAGTCATGAGAAACTAGAGACTTTTGTTTTAATCCATGCTAAACCAACCAAGAAGCCTGCATAATTGCTTATCTTTCCAGAACAGCTTACCAGGGGAGTCTGGGCATTAGAGTACAACAACTGAAGGAGAATTAGAAAGACAGAGCTTATAGAATATAAAGGAGTCCCTTGGACACTGAACTAACACAATGATAATTCTCACAAAGCACCTACTATGCATCCAGCATTGTGCCCAGAGCCTTGTGCTTTACCTCTTTTAGTGCTCCTAGGAGCCCTGAGGTGGACAGATTTTCATTGCCATCTGCCAGGAGGAAAAAAGACACAGAAAGCCAAAGGAACTTACTTGCCCAGAGGTCCAGCAGGTCTGAACTGGTCCCAAAGCTGGTGTTCTTCCTACTGGCCACACTTGTGGACCAAATCACCATTTCCTGTGTTTGCAACAGTTGCAAAAAAGGGGGGGTGGATACAAGGGAGTCCTGTGTGCTGATTTCCCAGCAGGACCGCCTGGGATGGCCCTGCTGCCCTACTTTTGAGAACAATAGCACAAAGATATGAAGACTAGGAGGCTTATTTTAAGAGGAAATATATATGGGTAACATAAAAAAGAAAAATTAACTAAACCAAAAAACGACTCTGTATGGTGGTCTTTTCCCTGGATCTACTCTGAAAATTGGCTACCCTTTAGAATATGTAAGTTCTCTCATTTTCCCGAACATTAGATGGGTTCTCTTCTATAGATAATATTCTGTTCTATGGCATGGTTTACTCTAGCATAGACTACACAAAGACACTATATTTGCTGATGTTGGGCATCACAGTAACTTCTAGTCATTGAATTACAACTGGTAATAAACATTTAAATTACTGGGAAAAGGTTGCTGCCTAACTTCTTATTCACTAAGAATGTAAGTTACTACAAATTCAAAAGTATCTGTTTCTGTATATTTTGGCACATCTGTCCAAGTCTAGTTTGAAAACCAGACATTGGTTGGTGTGTATTTCAAAACCCAATTATAAATGAATTGCAGGAGACCAGCATTGTGGCATAGCAGGAAAAGCCGCCACCTGCAATGCCAGCATCCCAGCCCCTGCCTATGTGATCATCTGGGGAGTGGAGCAGCAGACAGAATATCTCTATCTCTCCCTCTCTCTTGGTAACTCGGACCTTTTGGCTTTGCAGTTAAGAGGAGCTGGTTGAGGAGCCAGCACTGTGCCAGAGTAGGTAAAGCTGTGACCTGTGGCACCAGCATCCCACATGGGTGCTGGTTCAACTCCCAGCTGCTCCACTTCCAATCCAACTCTCTGCTATGGCCTGGGAAAACAGTAGAAGATGGCCTGAGTTCTTGGGCCACTGTACCCATATAGGAGACTCTGAAGAAGCTCCTGGCTCCTGGCATCAGATCTGCCCAGCTCCAGCCATTACAGCCACTTGGGGAGTGAACCAGCGGATGGAAGACCTTTCTCTTTGTCACTCCCTTTCTCTGTAACTCTACGTCTCAAGTAAAAAAAAAAAAAAAAGAAAAAGAAAAAAAAAAAGACTAGAGCAAAAGTTCTCAAAATATGGTCCCTGAGCCCCTGAGAATCCCTGAGACTTTTTGACAGGGCTCAGGAGGTAAAAATGCTCTTTTTTTTTTTTAACAATACCAAGGTGTAATTTGCCTTTCCCACTGTGATAACATTTACAGTGATGGTTCAAAAGCAATGGTGGATAAAGACACCTGCTGATCTTCAGCTCAGCAGTGCCACAAAATTGTAGTATTGCTCATAATGCTATTTCCCGCACACATTCACAATAACAACAGAAAAAAATGTAGAACAAGCCCTCATAAAGCACTTATGTTGTACATAGACATGTTGGTTGTCTTGAGAACTGCAAGGTGTCTGGTGCATAACAAATCTTCCCAGGCAGATGACTCAATTAATTCACATGCTTTTATTGGGGTTCCACTCCCGGGCGAAGTTCCATGGCCCCAACAGAGCAACAGAGCGGGGGCCCAGAAAGTCTCACGTCAGAGATTGGGAGTGCTCCTTTTATAGATTTGGGGCATGGGGGTTAAAGGTTGAGGTGGGTCTGATCCTCATTGGTTGACCTTTAGGCACCTGCGGGGACCTTGACAAGGACTTTTCTTCTCCAGAAGTGTAGGCCTTCCCTCCTTGTGGCTCCCAAAGCTACCAAGAACAACAGATTCTGTGAGTGGCAAGAGATAGGTATTTCTTTTTTATGAAACATTGTCAATTGTAAGAAAAACTGATGAACACTGGTATTTGGGTTTGGATATCTCAAGACAATTTCTGGGAAATAAATGAAGTGTGTTATAAAACATCAAGAAAAATAACCAAGGGGTTGACTTTTGGCCCAGTGGTTAAGATGCCAGTTAAGATACCCATATGCTGTGTCAGAGTACCTGAGTTCTATACCCAGTTCTGGCTCCTGACTCCAGCTTCCTGCTAGTGAGGACCCTGAAAGACAGCGGAGGTGACTGAAATGATTAGCTTCCTGCTATCCACATGAGGGACTCAGATCTGAATTCCTGGCTTGTGGCTTTGGACCAGTCTAGCTTCAGCCTGCTCTCTCTTTCTTTCTTCTCTCTCTCTCCAAATCTCTCTGACCCTTTGACCCTCAGATAAATTTTTAAAATGTAATAAAATAACTGAAAATATATTCTGTAACTGATTAAATTTGAGCTTTAAAGCTAAAGTTTGAGTTTTTGGAGAATTTTTATCCATCTTTTTTTTTTTTAATTTATTTGACTGGTAGAGTTAAAGACAGTGAGAGACAGAGAGAAAGGTCTTCCCTCTGTTGGTTCACTCCCCAAATGGCTGCTACAGCCAGCACTGCACGGATCTGAAGCCAGGAGCCAGGTGCTTCCTCCTGGTCTCCCATGCCAGTGCAGGGTCCAAGCACTCCACTGCCCTCCTGGGCCACAGCAGAGAGCTGGACTGGAAGAGGAACAACGGGGACTAGAACCTGGTGCCCATATGGGATGCGGGCACCGCGGATGGAGGATTAACCAAGTGAGCCAAGGAGCCAGCCCCTATCCATCATTATAATCTTGACAGCTTCCCAATACTTAAAAACTTGTCCAAAGATATTGGTGATTATGACAAATATACACCTTTTTTTAAGGTTTATTTATCTATTTAATGAGATAAGCGTAGAGGGAGGGAGGGAGAGAGAGAGGGGTCCTCTACCCGCTGGGTCACTCCCCAGGTGGCCACCATGGCCAGGGCGGGGCCAGGCTGCACCCAAGAGCCAGGAGCTCCATCAGGGTCTCCCACGAGGGCACAGGGCCCAGGCGAGCAGAGCCAGGACACAGGCGAAGCCCTCCCTGAGAGGAGAATTCTAGCCGGCGTCCTGGTCACTGGGGAAGGGGGAACTGGGAATAAAGGCGCAGGAAGCTCGAGGGAGAAACGCACGAGGGAGGGGGCCTTGGTCCCGGCCCCCTGGCCATCCCACCCAGGCCTCCAGGACCCTAGCCTCGCCCCCCCAGCAGTTCCAGGAATGTTTAGAGGAGCCATTTCCTGCCACTCCCGTTGGTCAACTCAGGACCACAGGATCGCTCCCGCCCCCGCCTCCCCTCCCCCCCCGTCCCCGCCCCACCCTCCTCGCCCCCCCCTTCCACCCAGCTCCCCCAGCCCCGGTCCGGCCCCGTGGGTTCCTGGCGTTGCTTCCACTCGGGGGAACTCTGCTGGGAGATCCTGTGAGCGAGCGTCCGCACACATACATGCACGCACACGGGTACACACACACGCACAGGTGCACATGCATACATGGGTGAACACACACGGATGCACACGGGTGCACACAGGTACACGCACGCACACACGGGTGCACACGCGCAGTCTGCAGGGCCAGCCCAGCTTCCTCTCCCCTAGGGGTCCCCCCCCCAGGGAACCCCAGACCCTAGGGCGGTGGCACCAGGTGGGCCATGGGATCCCCGGGAGTGGCTCAGCCCTTAGTCTCGCTGGTCTGGGCCCTGGGGACGTCCCAGTGACGCCCCTCCCAGCGGAGGGCGGTGTGGGGGGCGGCGTGCAGCCTGGGGAGGGGGAGGCAGCCAAGGACAGAAGGGACCATGCAGGGCGGGCTTGGGGCACAGACCCTGGGGCCCCACAGGGCGGGCCCGGGGCGGCTTCTTGCTGGGGTCGCCTCGCCCTCGGGGAGACCCGCGTGGGGAGGAGCTCCCAGCTGAGGCCGGCGGCTGGGGAGTGAGCAGCAGATGCGCCGAGGGTGCGTTCACGCGGGCGGGGGCCTGGGGCTCCTCGCGGCTCAGCGGCGTCCCCGCCCCGCGCAGGCATCTCGTCGCCCGTGAATAAGACGGGGATGGACAAGTCGCCATTCAACAGCCCCTCGCCGCAGGACTCGCTGCGCCTGTGCAGCTTCACGCAGCAAAACTGGCCCGTGATCGCGGTGCACAGCGGTGAGCGCGGGGCTGGGCGGGGGCCAGGGGCAGAGCGCGCACACACAGGCGGGGGCCGGGGCCAGGGGTTTGGGGCAGAGCGCACACACAGGCGCGGGGCGGGACCGGGGCCAGGGCCGAGCGCTGGGCCCAAGCCCCGCGCTCACCGCCCCGCCGCATAGGCATCATCCGGAGTCCGAACCCGTCCTCCGCCCTGCACTTCCCCACCACGTCCATCCTGCAGCAGATGGCGTCCACCTACTTCCCGCACACGGCCATCCGCTACCCGCCGCATCTCAACCCTCAGGACCCGCTCAAAGATCTCATGTCGCTGGCCTGCGACCCGGCCAGCCGGCAGCCTGGATCGGTGAGTGCGGGGTGGCCGACGGGCGGCGGAGGGGGCGTAGCGCCGCGGGCAGGGGTCGGGGCGGCGGAGGGGCGCGGTGCCTAGGGCAGGGGTCCGCGGACAGGGTTCCGCGGGCAGCCACAGATTCCACCTCCTTGGCTCCTGCCAGGCCCCCGCAGCGATGCGCGTCCTGCCCTTGGGGTTTCGCGTTTGGGAGCTTCGCATTTGGGAGTGGCGGGCGAGGTGGCACCTTGTGAACAGACAGGGAGGCGGGGTGCAGGGGTCCCAGCCCCCTGGACCTCCAGCCAGTCTCGGGCCTGCCCAACCCCCATAGCCCTGCCGGCGTCTTGGTCCCTCCGAGGCCGCCCCCCACCCCCGCTCAGCTGGGGCACGCAGTGCTCCTCCCTTCCCCGCAGGCTCTGGCCCTAGTCCAGCAGAAGGGGCAGCGCGCGTGTCCACTCCTCCCTACTCCTCCCCCAGCACGTACTGGGCGCCTTCCCCGTCTCCCCCCCACCTGCTAGGGGGAGCCGCCTCCCAGGAAGCCGGTGGGAATCGGGGCTCCCCTGCGGGACCCGCGGTTTGCCCTCCAGAGAGCCCAGGGCCACGTGGTCAGGGCCAGAGGGGCCGAGGGGGGGACAGCACCGGGGGCGCAGGGGTCTCAGGCCCCAGGCGTCGGCGGGCAGCGGGAACAAGGATCCGGACTTCACAGCGCTGGGGGCTCAGGGGGACGGAGCCCTGGGCCGGCCTGCGCCATTCTGGGTGTTTTTAGGATACATTTATAATTTATCTGAAAGGCAGAGTGGGGGGTGGAAAGAGAGGCGAGAGAGAGAGAGAGAGAGAGAGAGAGAGAGAGAGAGGTAGAGGTGTTTCGTCCACTGGGTCACTCCCGGAATGGCTGGGGCAGGGCCAGGCCAGAGCCAGGAGCTCCATCCATGGCTCCCACAAAGGTGCAGGGGCCTGGGCACCTGGGCCTTCAGCCGGGGATCCGGATGGGAAGTGGAGCGGCGGGGACTCGAACCGGCGCTCCATGGGTGCTGGCATTGTGCACAGCCCGCCATGGGCCACATCTCGCCTTGCGAGGGTCCTGCCTGGCCCTGGAAGCCCCCAACCCCCCTTCTATACTTTTCCAGCTGGGAACCCGGATCACAGCTTGGTGGCCTCTGCCTGCCCTGCCCCACCCCCTCTCAGACCCAGGCCAGGAACCAGCTTCCCTTGAACTGCCAGGAAGCCGGCCCCAGATTCAAATCCTGCCTCAGCTGGCGTGAAGGCCCTGGCTTTCCCTGCCCACTCACCTGTGAGGTGGGGGAGGGCAACTGTGTCCTGTGAAGACTCCCCTGGGGGTGAACGGGGCCGTGCCCAGGGCCTGGCATGCAGTAGGCATTTAATAGATGTGGACAGCACATAGATCCCCTCCCTGGAAGCCTATGACCACAAACCCGGGCTCCCACCCCCAGGCCTGGCCAGGCCCCTGTTCCCCTCCCCCTCTGTAGCCCCTGACCAAGTGCCCTGGGCATGATTAGAGTGAGGGAGTGAGGCCTGCAGACCTGCGGCCGCCCTGCCTTGCTCCACGCAGCAGTTTGGAAGTTACCAAATGCCATCGGTGACAGGCGGCCCCAGGACCGCAGGGCGCAGGGTGCCACGGGAGTGTGTGCAGAGGGCTGTCTGTGTGACCCCAGGCAGTGGACACCCTCTCTGGACCTGGCCGGCCCCTCACTAACAGGCTCTTGGTCTCTCTCCTCCCTGCAGCCTACTCTGCACCCAACACGTTCCCTGTAAAGCCTTCCTTTGTGGGATTAGGACCAAGGGATCCTGTGGGCAGCTTTCAGGCACAGGTAGGGGCCGAGAGGCTGGCCGGAGGGGGGCAGGGAGCCAGGCAGAGGGGCCAGCCTGGGGGGCACAGGGAGAGGAGAGGCAAGCCCGCCCGCCCCCACCGCTGGCCACAGCCCGGGCTCCGGGGGCCTCGAGCGAGCCCGGGCTGGCTTCTCCTGGGCTCCCCCTCCTGCCTCCTGCCCAACATCTGTCCAGATGGGGAGAGGCCCAGAGAGGCCGGGGACCTGCCCAGGGTCACACAGCCGTCAGCTGGAACTTGCCTCACCCCCACCCTGTGCCCCAGACCCAAGGCCTGGGGGGAGACCCTGCTCCGGGGAGGGGCTCAGAGCAGGGAGGTGAGTGACCCCAGGGCCCACGTGTCCCCCAACCTGCCCACCTTCGGGGATCCTGGGCCTGAGACAGTAGGAGGGGGCCCCAGAGCCCCTGCCCCTGGCCATGTTGTTGGGGAAGGGGTCTCAGATGCACAGAGAAGCCAGCCCAGAAGCTCCAGGTCATGTGGGGGAGGTCCCCAAGGCCGTGGCTGGACCCTGCTGCACCCCTCTGGGCCCAGACCCCCTCCAGTAGGGGCTTTGAGCTCCTAATTGATTCAGAAACCAAAGCTAATAGGGCTCAGGCCTGGCCCTAACTCTTCCTCCACCACATGCCTGAGAGCAGAGGGAAACCAAGCCAAGCAAGGCCCCTGCAAGGATGGAGTGGGGGGCCGGGGTACAGGGAGGGGAGGGGGGTCCACAGTGGGTCAGGGCACTGCAACAGATTGTGACTGTTGGGAGGGGGGTGTGAGGGCAGGTGCTGCCTGCTCCCTGCAGCTGGGGAGGGGGCAGGAAGCCAGAGCCCAGCTCTGGGCCGCCTCAGGGCGGATTCCGGCTCTGTCCCCATTGGTGGTGTGCCACTCAGCCCCCTGCCCGCCCCCAAGCCTCCTTCCTCTGCAGCCCCTCCCCCAATCAATACCCATTGATCTCCACCCCCACCCTCAGCATGTGCCTAGCCCTCTGAGCTGGGCTCACCTGGGCACCCCAGCCCCCAGCTGCCCGCTGGCCCCGGGAGCGCCCAAGGCAGGCCAGGGTCACATGCCAGAAGCCACGTGGGCAGCCGCGGCCAGGCCACAGGAGGCAGAGGCTGTCCACTGGAGAGGGTCACACCCAGAGTCTGTCTGGTTGCCAACGGAAACCAGACATGAGGTAATGGCCAAGATTAACTTGAACATGGCTGGAGGTGGGCAGCTGCGAGCTCAGGTGCCACTTCCTTGGGATGGCCCAGTGGCTGCTGCATTGCTGGTTCCCGGGGACACCAGTGATAAGTGACTGGGTGGGTGACAGCCGAAGCCCTCTGGCAGACCTGGGGTCTAGGGAGAGGGACCTGAAATGCCCCCAGCCGGCCCTGGAGTCAGGAGACAGGCCCGAGCAAACACCTGCAAGCCCTGGGGTCTAGGGAGATGGGCCCCAGCCACCTGCCCCTGCCCCAGCCCTGGAGAGAGGGAGACAGGCCCAAGCTGCCCCTGGCCAGGCCTGGGGTCTAGGGAGTCAGGCCCGAACCACCCCCTCACCCCCAGCCCTGGAGAAGAAGGAGACAGGCCCAAACTCCATGGCCGGCCCTGGGGTCTAGGGAGACAGGCCCGAGCTGCTGTCGGACAGCCCTGGGGTCAAGAGACAGGCCTATGGCACCATGGCTCAATGGGCTGATCTTCTGCCTGCGGTGCCTGCACCCCGGGTTCTAGTCCCGGTCGGGGTGCTGGATTCTGTCCCGGTTGCTCCTCTTCCAGTCCAGCTCCCTGCTGTGGCCCGGGAGTGCAGTGGAGGATGGCCCAAGTCCTTGGGCCCTGCACCTGCAAGGGAGACCAGGAGAAACACCTGGCTCCTGGCTACGGATCAGCATGGTGTGCCGGCAGCAGTGTGCTGGCCACAGTGGCCACTGGGAGGTGAACCAACAGAAAAAGGAAGACCTTTCTCTCTGTCTTTCACTGTCCACTCTGCCTGTCAAAAAAATAAAAAAAAGAGAGAGAGAGAGAGAGAGAGAGAGAGACAGGCCTAAGACCCCACTGGCCAACCCTGGAGTCTAGGGAGATGGGCCCGGACTGCCCCCAGCCGGCCCTGGAGTCGAGACATGGGCCCAGGTTGCCCCCAGCCAGCCCTGGGATCTAGAGTGATGGGCCCAAGCTGCCCCCAAGCAGCCCTGGGATCTAGAGAGTCGGGCTCGGACCGCCCGCACCCCAGCCCTGGAGAAGAGGGAGACAGGCCCAAGCTGCCCCCAGCTAGCCTGGGAGTCCAACACTGGCCTGAGTTGCCACCTGGCCGGCCCTGGAGTGTAGGGAGAAGGCCTGGGCTGCCCCCGGCTGTCCTAGAGTCAGGAGAAGGGCCCGAGCCACCCCTGGCCAGCCCTGGGATCTAGAGAGATGAGCCCGGGCCGCCCCCCCCCCCAGCCCTGGAGAAGAGGGAGACAGGCCCAATCTGCCGCTGGCCAGCTCTTGGGTCTAGGAAGACAGGCCTGAGCTGCACCTGGCCAGCCCTATGGTTGAGACTTGGGCCTGAGCTGCCTCTGGCCAGCCCTGGGGTCTAGGGATACAGGCCTGAGCTGCCCCCAGACAGCCTTGGAGACAGGAAACAGGCCCGAGCTGCCCCTGGCCGGCCCTGGGGTCTAGGGAGACAGGCCTGAGCTGCCCCCAGACAGCCCTGGAGGCGAGACATGGGCCTGAGCTGCCCCCAGCCAGCCCTGCAGACAAGACACAGCCCCTAACTGCCCCCCGGCTGGCCCTGGGGTCTAGGGAGATGGGACTGAGCTGCCCCTAGCCAGCCCTGGGGTCTAGGGACATGGGACCGGGCCACCCCCACCCCTGGCCCTGGAGAAGAGGGAGACAGGACCGAGCAGCCTCTGGCCGGCCATGGGGTCTAGGGAGATGGGCCTGAGCTGCCCCCAGCCAGCCTTGTGATCCAGGGAGACGGGCCCGGGCTGCCCCCACCCCCCGGCCCTGGAGAAGAGGGAGACTGGCCTGAGCTACCCCTGGCTGGCCCTGGGGTCTAGGGAGACAGGCCTGAGCTGCCCCTGGCCAGCCCTGGGGTCAAGACATGGGCCCAAGCTGCCCCCAGGCAGCCCTGGAGAAGAGGGAGACAGGCCTGAGCTGCCCCAAGCCAGCCCTGGGGTCGAGACACAGGCCCGAGGTCCACCCGGCTGGCCCTGGGGTCTAGAGAGACTGGCCTGAGCTGCCCTCCAGCCAGCCCTGGAGTCGAGACATGGGCCAGAGCTGCTGCCTCACCGGCTCTGGAATTAAGACACGGGCCGGAGCTGCCCCTGGCTGGCCCTGGGCTTAGGAAAATGGGCCCAAGCTGCCCCCAGCCAGCCCTGGGGTCTAGGGAGACAGGTCTGGGCTGCCCCCCCAGCCCTGGAGAAGAGGGAGACAGGCCCAAGCTGCCCCTGGCCGGCCCTGGAGTTGAGACACGGGCCTGAGCTGCCCCCTGCCAGCCCTGCGGTCTAGGGAGATGGCCCAGGCTGTCCCCCACCCCAGCCCTGGAGAAGAGGGAGACAGTCCCAAGCTACCCCCTGCTGGCCCTGGGGTCTAGGGAGACTGGCCCAAGCTACCCCTGGCCAGACCTGGGGATGAGACATGAGCCTGAGCTGCCCCTGGCCAGCCCCTGGGATCGAAGGAGACAAGCCTGAGCCACACCCCTGGCCAACCCTAGGGTCTAGGGAGACGGGCCTGAGCTGCCCCCAGCCAGCCCTGGGGTCAAGACACAGGTCCGAGCTACCCCTGGCCTGCCCTGGAGTCAGGATACGGACCCGTGCCACTCCCGGCCATCCCTGGGTTCAAGACACAGGTCTGAGCTGCCCCTGGGGTCTAGGGAGACGGGCCCAAGCTGCCCCTGGCCAGCCCTGGGGTCTAGGGAGATGGGTCAGGGCCGCCCACCCCCTGGCCCTGGAGAAGAGGGTGACAGGCCCAAGCTGCCCCTGGCTGGCCTTGGGGTCTAGGGAGACTGGCCTGAGCTGCCCCCGGCCAGCCCTGGGGTCTAGGGAGATGGGCCCCAGCTGCCCACCCCCCAGCCCTGGAGAAGAGGGCGAAAGGCCCAAGCTGCCTCTGGCTGGCCCTGGGGTCTAGGGAGACTGGTCCGAACTGCCTCGGACAGCCCTGGGGTCTAGGGAGAGGGGCCCGGGCCACCCCCTCCCCCGGCCCTGGAGAAGAGGAGAAAGGCCAATGCTGCCCCCGGCTGGCCCTGGGGTCGAGGGAAATGGGCCCAGGCTGCCCCCCACACTGCTAGCCCTGGGGTCGTGACAGACATGAGTTGCCCCCGGCCAGCCCTGGGGTCTAGGGAGATGAGCACGAGCTGCCCCTGGCCAGCTTTGCGGTCTAGGGAGCCGGGTCTGGGCAAACCCCCTGGCCCTGGAGAAGAGGGAGACAGGCCCAACCTGCCCCTAGCAGGTGCTGGGCTCTAGGGAGACTGGCCCGAGCAGTCCCCAACCAGCCCTGGAGTCGAGACCCGGGCTCAAGCTGCCCCTGGCCGTCCCTGGGGTCTAGGGATATGGGCCTGAACTGCCCCCAGCCAGCCCTTGGGTCTATAGGAGTCGGGCCTGAGCCAACCCCCCCCCCGCCCTGGAGTAGAGGGAGACAGCCCCAAGCTGCCTGGCTGGCCCTGGGGTCAGGAGAAAGGCCTAAGCCCCCCACAGGCCAGCCCAGGGGTCTAGGGAGATGGGCCCGGGCCAACCCCCGCAGGGGTTGGAGAAGAGGGAGACAAGCCCAGGCTCCCTGGCCAGCTCTGGGGTCTAGGGAGTCGGGCCCGAGCTGCCCCCGGCCAGCCCTGGGGTCAGGAGACAAGCCTAAGCCCCCCAGCGTGCAGCCCTGGAGTGTAGGGATTTTGGACCGAGCTGCCCCTGGCCGGTCCTGGGGTCTAGGGAGACAGGCCTGGGCTGCTTCCCTGCCCCAGCCCTGGAGAAGAGGGAGACAGGCCCGAGCTTCCCCTGGCCAGCCCTGGGGTCAGGAGACAGGCCTACGTCCCCCACTTGCCAGCCCATGAGTCTAGGGAGACAGGCCTGAGCTGCCTCTGGCCAGCCCTGGAGTCGAGACAGGGTCCCAAGCTGCCTCTGGCTCAGCCCTGGGGTCTAGGGAGAGGGGTGTGAGCTTCTCCCAGGTCTCCTGTGCCCCTGCTGGGCAGCCCCAGGCTCATCAGCTCCTCTGTAATACCAGGCTAAGGGTCAGCCCTCCTCAGGGCTTGTTACTAACTATTGTGAACTGTAAACAGGATATATTCAATGAAAACCACATCTCATTATGAGCTACAACAAGTATTGATAACTGAAATCTAAGAGATCCTCTTAATACCAGCGAAAAGCTCAACTCATGTTGCTTTCTGAAGTACAGCAGTGAGACTGAGAGTCAGCTTCTCAGAGACAAAAAAACCATGGAGCAACAGACTGAAGGTGAAGAAAGCACTAGAGGAACCTAGAAGTGTACAAGCAAGAGTAAACTTTACAAAGGAAGGCAAAATAGCAGTGAACTTCAAAAATTTTGTGTAGAACTGGTAATAAAAATAGTTATTTTGCTGTAGCTTTGGAATTCATGTACCTTTTTCAAAATATGCGTTTTCCATCAATTTTTGAAGACCTCTCTTGTACATAGGTTTATATACCAAATAAAGTGCAGTGGGGCAAGGTGTTGGGTCTCCCAGTTAAACAGGCCAGTAAAGATGCCCACATTCCACACCAGAGTACGTGGATTCAATACCCACCCACAGCTTTTGATTCTTGCTTCCTAGTAATGCAGACCCTGTGAGGCACAGGTTATGGTTCAAGTAATTGAGTTCCTGCAACACATATGGGGACTTGGACTAGGCTTTCAGATCCCGGCTTTGGCTTGGCACAACCCCAATCACTGTAGTCATTTAAAGTGCTTACCAGATTGGGAGCTCTCTCTCTTTCTCTCTCTCTCTATCTCTATTGGATGATCTGCCATCTATCTATATATCTATCTACATATCTATCTATCTATCAAATCTATATCTGTTTCATTGTCTTGCTTACTCTCAGACAATAAATGAATCTTAAAAAAATACATTGGCAAGAAATTTGTATGAAAATGATTCTTAAAAGAGTTTTGCTTTTGGCAGAAGAAGAACAATCTAAGATAAAAGCAAAGCAATATAAACAGGAATGATAAACAACAGAAGGATTAAATGTAGGGGTAAATCTAAGTTATTGACTTTAGAAAGCAATCACATGGATACCTTACTTGTTCAAAATGTGTATAATTTAAATTCTGATAATGGAAAAAAGATGAAAGTGAAACAATTACAGTAAATATGATTCTAGTGTTGTGAAAAGTAGTAAATTTGAAATACTGATGATAAGTCAGCAGTAAATCTGACAATTGCTAGGGTAACCACAAAAATAATTAAGGAATACATAACCAACAAACCAATGGAGAGGAAATTAAGTAACAAACTATATAGATTCAAAATGAGGGAGAAGAGGAAACTACTAAAACAGGAAACAAAGTAAGATGCTAAATTCAGGTAAAACATATCACAAAATTTTAAATGTAAATTAACTAAGTGATCCAGCTAGAAATCAAAATTTTCTTATTTAATGGAAAAACAGTTAATTATTTGCTATTTAGGATACAACCCTTAAATGTTTAAGAGTAAAAATGTTGAAAATATACCTACACATTTTGAATAGAAGACTCTCCTGAGATCTGACAAGACAGACTTTCATGCAGGAACTATTACTAGATATATTCAGAGAGATTTCATAATGATATAGTTATCAATTCAGTGCGAAGATATAGAATTCTAAATTCTTATGTAGGTTAATATGGGAAGAGTTTTAGCACTTGTCCTTTTTTTTCTTAAAATTTTAAGCTTTTTATTTAGTGAGAGAAAGAACTTATCTTCAGAAACAGTAAAGATTCAGGTGAAAACAACAAAGAAAATTAAGAACATGCTCATAATTCATATTCATATGAATTGAACATGAGTTTTGCTGCACACAGAATCTTTCATCAAATAAACTTTATTAGGGTGAGCGTAGTGGCACAGTAGGTTAAGTCAACACTTACAGTGCCCATGTCCCATATCAAATGCTTAGTTTGGGTCCCTGCTACTCTTCTTTTCCAGCTTTTATGAATGTGCCCAGGAGACACAGAAAATGGTCCAAGTCTTTGGGTTCCTGCCACCCTTGTGGAGTGAGTTCCTGGATCCTGACTTTGGCCTAGCCTAGTCCCAGCTGTTGCAGGTATTTGGAGTGTGAACCAGCAGTTGGAAAATCTCTGTCTCCCTTTTTCTCTCAATGTTGCTTTTGATCTGCAATACAAAGAAATAAATTCAATTTTAAAAAGATACACTTGATCAGCAGCCACTTCCCCTCCCAGGTGTAGGTTAGGCTTGACTAACTTGTGTTGACTAAGGAGAGCCATGTGAGGAAGAAGTTGAAAGGGATAGGTTTTGTGTTACCATGTTCCCTTTTCCTTGTGCTATCATGGGACAGGATTCTACTATTCTTGCTTGGCACGCCTGGGTAACAAAGATAGTATGACTTCTGTGAGCAGAGTCCCCTGCCACAAATGATGGACCTGTACAGTGAGTAAACCAGCAATCTGTTACTATAAAACCCTGCGAGTCACAGTGTTAACCTAGCCTTCCCACCTTGACCTCGTCAACTCTCCCTCCATCCCCTACCCCATGGCCACTGTCCAGCTTATGTTTTATTCACATTCACATTCACATTTTATTCAGATTCATGATAGGAGGAGGAAACCATATTAGATGATTTATATTTTCAAGATTTATTTATTTATTTAAAAGTCAGAGTTACAGAGAGGCAGAAGCAGAGGCAGCGGCAGAGAAAGAGAAAGAGAAAGAGAAAGAGAAAGAGAAAGAGAAAGAGAAAGAGAAAGAGAAAGAGAAAGAGAAAGAGAAAGAGAAAGAGAAAGAGAGGTCTTCCATCTTCTGGTTCACTCACCAGATGAACACAATAGCTGGAGCTGTGCTGATCCAAAGCCAGAAACCAGGAGCTTCTTCTGGGTCTCCCATGGGAGTTCAGGAGCCCAAGGACTTGGGCCATCTTCTACTTCTTTCCCAGGCCATAGCAGAGAGCTGGATCAGAAGTGGAACACCCAGGACTCAAACCAGCACCCGTATGGGATGCCAGTACTGCAGGTGATGTGTTTACCTGCTACATCACAGTGCTGGCCACAAGATTATATACTTTTATGAATGCTATAAGCAACTAGCACTGAAAGAAATTATAAAAAGGAGATTTAATAGGTAACACTTGTATAGAAACTACTTAGTGAATCTGTTTCCAAATAATTCAGGAGCATATTGTTATGATCTGTTTTCATAGGTTAATATTAAATAGAAATTTATTTTTATAGCACTCTGGCCTCAGAATCAGCCCTAAAGCCATTTGGATCTGGCTGAAAAGCCCATGAGAGTATTTCAGGCATGGAAAGCCAAGACACTCTGGCAAAAAGATCTCTGTGAGTGAGATCCCAGTGGAAAGAACAATTCTTCAAAGAAGGAGGTACCTTTCTCTGAAGGGAGGAGAGAACCTCCACTTTGACTATGACCTTGTCTAAACAAGATAAGAGTCGGAGAACTCAGAGGGCTTCCATAGCCTTGGAAACTCATGATTGGAGCATAGGGAGATTACTGATGCCATAGACAGGAGTGTCAATTTGTAAAGTCAACAACAGGAGTCACTGTGCACTTACTCCTCATGTAGGATCTCTGTCCTTAATGTGCTGTACATTGAGATTTAATGCTATAATGAGTACTCAAACAGTATATTTCACTTTGTGTTTCTATGGGGGTGCAAACTGTTGAAATCTTTACTTAATGTATACTAAACTGATCTTCTGTAAAAAAAAAAAAAGAAAAGAAAAAAAGAAATTATCAATTCCCAACTTGACTCTCACTGGGATTAAACATGACAATAGGTCTGATCTGATTTCATCATCATTAAAAAAAATCATCTATTATTTTTCACTTTATGTTTCAGTGTGGGAGCAAACTGTTGAAATCCTTACTTAATGTATACTAAGCTGATCTTCTGTATATTAAGATAATCGAAAATGAATCTTGATGTGAATGGAAGGGGAGAGGGAGTGGGAAAGGGGAGGGTAGTGGGTGGGAGGGACGGTATGGGGGGGAAGCCATTGTAATCCATAAGTCGTACTTTGGAAATTTATATTCATTAAATAAAAGTAAAAAAAAAGAAATTTATTTTTAGGTACATCCATCAGGAATGTCATATGTGCATACATCTGTATGTTCTCTGAATGGTTGAGAGCGAAATAAAATAATTGCTTGCATCTGAATCGATAGATTTGGTGAATAGTGATAAGTTTTAAGAGGGATATAATTTTTTCTAGTTGAAAATTGCTCTTCTCACACCTGGTAGGAAGACAGGATGTGAATGGCTGGCAGTGAGGCAAGATTGTTGCAGATTCTCTATCTTAGGAGAGTAGTGGGCTGGAGGGCTGGGGGGAAGAGGGTAGAGCTCATTAACGAGGTAGAGTGGGAGGAAATTAAAATCAGCTGTGGGTCAGAACAGCTTTAAGAAGCAGGAGAATTGTGGCAGTGACTGCATGGAGTTCCTGATGAACAGATTGCGGAGTGAAGCAGTGCAGCCTGAACAGGCTGTATTTGCATGGGCGTTCATTGAGGCCTTCAGTATGGGGAGTCAGAGCAGGTAAAATGAAAAAGGGCAAGGAGGGGAGCAAGGCCCAGGACTTGGAGGGCGAGGAGGGGAGCGGGCTTCGGACATGGAGGTCATGAGTAGAGCAGGGCCCAGGCCCTGGAGACTGAGGAGGGGAGCAGAGTCTGTCCCTGGATTGCAAGGAGGGGAGTGGGGCCCAGGCCCTGGAGGGCCAGAGGGGAGCAGGGCCAGTCCCTGGAGGCCAAGGAGGGGAGTGGGCCCAGGCTCTAGAGGGCCAGAGGGGAGCAGGGCCAGTCCCTGGAGGGCAAGGAGGGGAGTGTGCCCAGGCTCTAGAGGGCCAGAGGGGAGCAGGGCCAGTCCCTGGAGGGCAAGGAGGGGAGTGGGCCCAGGCTCTAGAGGGCCAGAGGGGAGCGGGGTTTTGCCCGGAGAATGAGGAGCAGAGCTGAGTCTGGCTCTGGAGGGGGAGGATGGGAGCTGGGCCCAGTGCCTGGAGGGCAAGGAGGGCAGTGGGGTCTGGCCCTGGAAGGTGATGAAGGGAGCTGGACCCAGACCCTGAAGGGTGAGGAGGGGAGCGGGGCCAGGCCCTGAAGGGCGAGTAGTGCAGCAGAGCTTGGCAAGGGGGCGAGGAGCGGAGCAGGGCCCAGGCCCTGGAGAGTTAGGAGGGGAGCAGGGTGTGATCCTGGAGGGCTGCAAGGGGAGCAGGGCCCACTCCCAGGAGGGTGATGGGGGAGCAGGGACCAGGCCCTTGAGGGCCAGGAGGGGATTGGGGTTTCTCCCAGAAGGGAGAGAAGTGGGGCAGGGCCCAGGCCCTGCAGGGCGAGGATGGAGTGGCGCCTGGTATAGCCCTGGAAGGTGGCTAGGGGAGCAGGGCACAGGCCCTGGAGTGCGAGGTGGGGAGTGGCACCCATCCCTGGAGAGCGAGGAGGGGAGCAGGGTCTGGCACTGGAGGGTGGCAAGGGGAGCGGGGCCCAGTCCCTGGAAGGCTAGAAGAGGAGCAGAGTTTGGCCCTGGAGGGTGAGGAGGGGAGCAGGGTCCAGTCCCTGGAGGGCGATGAAGGGAGTGGGGCCCATTTCCTGGAGGGTGAGAAGGGGAGCAGGGTATGGCCCTGGAGGGTGAGGAGGGGAGCAGGGTGTGGGGAGCAACTGAGACTAGGCTAAGTTACTGGAATTAAGACTTATTCTATGCATCTGCTCTCCCACAATATGGCGCTGGGGAGGAGTAAACTTCTAAGCAGCTGCCTCTCACCAACTTGACAAACTGCAGGAGCTGATCCTGCTCCTGATTGGAGGAGAGCAGCGTGCTCGGCGTGTGGGTAGCAGAGCATGGATTGGTGGAGAGGACTATAAAGGAGGAGAGAGATGGCAAGGTGGTGTGGGTTGGTTGGAGAGTGCGTTGGAGAGTTCGCGGGGAAGTTCGTTGCTTCATTCTTTCTCATTTCTCTCTACTCATTCTTGCTTTGGGAGTTCGCTGTTTGCTTATTCTTACTTTACTATAGAAAAGACTTGTAAAAAAAGGGGAACAACAAGCGTCCGGTCCGGTGCGGCAGCAGGGTATGGCCCTGGAGGGTGAGGAGGGAACAGGGCCCAGGCCCTGGAGGGTGAGGAGGGGATCCCGGCTGGGCTCTGAAGGGCAAGGAGGGGAGCAGGACCCAGTGCCTGGAGGGCGAGCAAAGGACCATGGCACAGGCCCTGGAGGGCTAGAAAGGAAGCGGGGCCCACTCCCTGGAGGGCAAAGAGGGGAGCAGGGCCCAGCCCTGGAGGGCAGTGAGGGGAGCACAGCACAGGCCCTGGAGAGTGAGGAGGGGAGTGGGGCCCAGGCTCTGGATAGCGAGGAAAGGAGCGGGTCCAGCCCTGGAGGATGATGACATGAGCGGGGCCCATTCCCTGGATGGCAAGAAGGGGAGCAGGGCCAAGCCCCTTGAGAGCGAGCAGAGGAGCAAGGCCCAGGCCCTGGAGTGTGAGGAGGGGAGCGGGTTCCAGACCTGGAGGGCTGTGAGGGGAGCATCCTCCAGCCCTGGAAGGCAGCAAGCTGAGCTGGGCCGGGCCCTGGAGGGCGAGGAGGCCTGCACCTTAGGAGAGCATTTTCTGGCCCTGGAAGGCAAGGAGGGGAGCGGGGCCCAGTCCCTGGAGGGCAAGCAGAGGAGCAGGCCAAGGCCCTTTAGGGCAAGGAGGGGAGCTGGGTTTGGCCCTGGAAGGAGCTGAGGGGAGCAGGGCCCAGGCCCTGGTGAGTGAGGAGGGGAGCTATCAGGCCCAAATAACAAGATGGAGGCCCAGTCTAAAATAGGTGAACCATGATCCAGGCTCAGATCTCTCACCTCCAGGGCCGGGCCTAGCTCACCTGTTGCCTTCCAGGACCTGGGCCCCGCTCCCCTCCTTGCCCTCCAGGCAGGACCCCGCTCCCCTCCTTGCCCTCCAGGCAGGACCCCGCTCCCCTCCTTGCCCTCCAGGGCAGGACCCCGCTCCCCTCCTTGCCCTCCAGGGCAGGACCCCGCTCCCCTCCTTGCCCTCCAGGGCAGGACCCCGCTCCCCTCCTTGCCCTCCAGGGCAGGACCCCGCTCCCCTCCTTGCCCTCCAGCAGGACGCCCCGCTCCCCTCCTTGCCCTCCAGGGCAGGACCCCGCTCCCCTCCTTGCCCTCCAGGGCAGGACC